GCCTTCGGCCTCCATCACGTGGGAAGGGCCCCAAGGGTAGAGGCGGGGCCGATGAAAGGGGCAGAGGTGGGGAAGGGGGTTACAGGCTTTACAGGCACCACGTGACTGCTGCTTATTCCCCTTGCCCATCTGTGCTCTGCTCCCAGTGCTGGGGGAGGGGCTCTGGTCTGGGTGACAGGCCTGGCCAGGAGCAGGACCCTGCCATAGCCATGGGTGCTGTATCCCCGGCTTGTTTCTACCAGCACGGCTACGAATTTTGTATCTAGCATTCTGCACACTCGTGCCTGTCTGCAGGTATCTGTAGCTGTGGATGTAGCTGTGGTTGTCTGTGGCTCGCTTTTGCAGAGGGGGATATGAATTTTGTATTGGTGCAAGACTCTAGCCATAAGCCTCAGCACGTGCCTGCCCTGTTTTCCCCATTGCATGAAGACAGAAAGGAAAGTGGCACTATTAACTACCAAAGCTAAGAGAGTCGGTTTTGTGCTTCGCCTCTTACACCATCCTACTTCTCACACTACTGAGCTGCCACTCTTTGGCCAGAAATCACATTGGCTATTCAGCAAAGAAGCCAACTCCTCTGTGAAAAGTGTCCGAGGAATAGCCATTTACTCAGTGGCTACATCTAGATTGCATCCCTTTTTCGTAAAAGGGATGCAAATTAGAGGTATCGCAATTGCTAATGAAGCGGGGATTTAAATTTCCCCCACTTCATTAGCATAAAAATGGCTGCCGCTTTTTTTCGGCACGCAGCTTTACCGGAAAAAAGCACCAGTCTAGATGTGGATCTTTTGGAAAATAAAGCCTTTTCCGAAAGATCCCTTATTTTAAGAGGGATACAAAATGGCACCTTAGAGCAGAAGTGAGGAACCTAAGGCTCGGGGGGCCACCCAGCATTGGGGAGCCTGCACTGTGTGGCTCACAACTGTTTTTTCTGTGGCTCAGTATAGGGATTTTAAATATGTTAGTTGAATAGTTGATTAACCTCATGAATTCTTATTGGTTACTTGGCTATTCTGTAGTCCCCAGGGGTGGGGCTGATAGCCAATGTACCCCCTTCCACTCCACGCTGCTGCCTCTGCATCAGAGGAAGCAGCATGGGGAGCCAGGTAGGAACTGGTCTGCAAGGGGAGCCAGTTTAAAAACCAGCTACCCTCGTGGACTAGCCTGTCACCCCACACTGCTGCCTCTGATACAGAGGCAGCAGCGTGGGGTGGTAGCAGCCCATGTCAGGGGGAAGGGACTGGTCTGAGCTCCTGCTCCTGGTGCAGGGCTGCCTGCCCACCGAGCTTCTAATACACTTTAAATGCAGAGTTGCACCAATGGTAGGTCCTAGACCCAGCACAACTGAGCTGAGCTGCTGGTGAGCCTGCTAAAAAAAATTCTGGCAAAAAGTGGGGGGAGGAAATGCATGTAGTCTATAGCATTAAGTGATAAGCTTTTGCTTATCGGTTAAACAACTACACTATTACATCCCTAGGTCAGTGGCCGCTGACCCAAAAAAGGTTCCCAACCCCTGCTTTAGAGATTAACAGATTTATCATGGTAAAAGCTTTTGTGGGTAAAACCTACTTAATCAGGTGAATTAGAGTGTAAGTCACAGCAGCAGAAGTGTATATAAGGAAGGAGTTGCTTGCGTTAATGAAGCTAATCAAGTCTAGGTGAAAGTGGGTCTTTCATAGCATTTGTTCTGAACATGTGAATATTCAGAGAGGGGAAATTGCCTTTGTAATGTGTTGTACTCCTCTGTGAGCAGCCAGCTAAGAGGGAGTTTCTGGTAACATACAGCTACCATCAGCAACTAACTGGTACTTCTCCCATAGCCAGGGAAAAAAGAGGGTCCCAACAGTCTACCCTGGATGGTTGTAGAAACTATGATCACTGTGACAAATTTCCAACTCCTAGCAGCAGTGAATTACATCTGTAGGATTTTCTTCACAATAAAGAGTGCTGAAATGTTAGCCTCCCTCCTCCAAAAATTAACAAAGGCTAAGACAGAAATTGTTGCAGAGTCACACACAACACCTAGCAGGAGGATTAATGAAGCTAACTCAATACTATACCCCCAATAGGTCCTGTAACAATTATTCTTACCGACTCTCCTTTTCAACATATATATGAGACCCATTGGAAAGATGATGAAATGCTCTGGGTTTTAATTCTGCTCTCTCTGATGGTGTGCAGCATCTTTTTGTCAGCAAAGAAGTATGAACTCTTGTGTTCTAGATATACAGATTACAATATTGGCTGAAAGACCAGTCCATCTTACCAGGAGCCATTTCTTGTAAATGAGTATGTATCAATTGTAATCAACTTTCTCCTTGCTTCTGTTAACTGCTGTAACTCCACTTGGGCCTGAAGGTGAATACATAGAAACTCGTACAGCATGCAGCTGATTTTCTTTAAGGAATCCCCTTTTGCTCCATTCATCTGAACAAGTAGGTTGTGCCCAAGGAAGCTCACCATACGATGTATATTTTTTGTTAGTCTTTGAGATGCTACCGGACCACTTGTGTTTTTTATTTTTTTTTAAAGTTACAAACTAACATGGCTACCCCTCTAAGACTGTCAAGAACCAATCACACTGGGACTTAGCATAATCCAATGGCTCCCAGTTCACTCTGGTACATAAAAACAACCACCATAGCAGTCCCGCATGCGGGAATTTCTGTCAGGGGTGTGTGCACTTTTTTGAAAATGTGGCCCACAAGGGTGTGAATGCACTTCCCCTCCCATCTTTCCCCAAATAAGTGGGGAAATCAGCCCCAGTCTTCCCTGACTGGTCAGAGCTTGGGCAGCGCACTGTCCCTACCTTCCCCTGGCTGGCTGGAGCATGCTTATTTGGGGGATCATAGGGGAGTGCTTTCACACCCTTCGCACACACCCTGCATATGGGCCTGCACAGTGAGCTAGCCCAAAAGCTTGTCCTCTTACAGTGACCACTGCCAGATTCTTCAGAACAAATGAACAGAGCAGGGCAATTAACAAGCTGCTGATTCCCTGTTAACCACTCAGCTTCTAGCAGTCAGAGGTTTAGTGACAACAAGAGCATGAGACTGCATCCCTGACCACCTTAGCTAATAGCCAATGGTGGACTTATCCTCCAGGAATTGATCTACATTATTTTTGAACCCAACTGATAATTCAGATACATGAATATCAATCTTTTATTTTACAAAACACTAAGACTAGATCTTGATTATTTTGGAGATCACCTTGACATCTGTGACCTTGTGAAACACTGTGCTTCAAGCCAAGGGAATACTCTATCTGAGAGTCCAGGTGAAACTTGCAAGGGCAGCCCCCTCAGCACAGTTTTCAACTGGAGCCCCTCAAGGGGGGGATGTAAGAACCAGTCCAAGCCTCTTTGCCAAGAGAATGGATTTTAAGCAAAACAGCCATAAAAACCCAAGTCCATGTAAAGTGTCAGAGCAAAGTATGTTGGTCAGGTAGATGCTGTGTTGAGGGCTTACTGCAATGCTGGAGAGAAAAGGCAGCTTGCTATGTTTAGTTCCAAAGATCTGGGGTCTGGTAAGGGGGTGGGGCAAGGGAAGGGTTAGAAGACTAGTGGGGGAGGGACAAGAGGGATGGGGAGCAGGGCAGCTCAATGCATCTTGTGGGAGGATCAGGGAGTAGCCTACGTGCTGAGTCAGTAGTTGTCTTTCTCCTCTGCAGCTGGTCCGAAAGGGGCGGTGAACAGATTTCCCAGGCCAGAGCTTTCTCCCGGCAGCTACTGTAGGGGGTGAGTACAAGCACGGATGTATGCTCTCTCTCCAATGTGTATTCTGAGGGGAAGCCTATGTATCCTGTTTGGTACAGATCCTTGTACAAAAGAGATGAGGCCACTCTGCTGCTTCCCCTTGTAGGACCTAGGACAGGGTGGAAATGGGGCAGAGAGAAGTTGCTTTGGTAAAATCATAGAACAAAATAAAATGCTTTTAATAAAGAGCAATGAGATGAAAGTGACTGCAGTTGGTGACTTAACTACCTGGTGATTTTTCTGTGGCACTATAAGGTTTCCTAATACAAGTAGTTACAGAAAGCTCTGAATACAGGAAGCCATGGCCCCCCTTTGGCCTATAGATGTTGACTGTATAGATGTGATGGCAAGACACTGAAAAAGAGTGTATCTGGGACACATTTCTATAGAGTTATTTCTGTTCTTACAATACTCTAGGGGTCGTTAGTAATATTTCAGGGTTTCCCTGAAGAGTGCCAAGTCTCTCTTTTTTGATCTGAGGAAGTGGGTCTGGCCCAGGAAAGCTCATCACCTAATAAACTGTCTTGTTAGTCTTTAACTACATAGTCCTGTTTTTTGTTTCAAGTCTCTCCCAGTGAGATCTGTGTTTGTATGCATTCCCTTTCCTTGGAAACCTCCCTCTGCAATGATTAATTACACCCGAAGTAAGGCAGCATAGATTGAATGTGCTCCCAATCTTTCCTTGCTTTTCCTGGGCACCCTGAAACTATTCTATGACTTCCTCTCCCTATCTTTGCTACCAGAGTAGGGTTGAGGGTGTGGGACTCCAGTAAAATGCAGAAGAGGTCTGTAAAGGATTCCCTAAGGTGGTAGCGGCACTCAAACCTAGCAAAGAGGAACTGTGCACCTTCAATGCACCTGGAAGCTTGTGAAACTCAGCCCAGGGATAATCCTCTCTGGAATGGAAAAAGGAAAATCATGTTGTAAAGCTTTAACCAGCTCCCCCGTGCTGGCTGCCAACTGCTATTGTTCTAAACTGAGCCTCTCTAATTATTGGAAAATGTTACTTGACAGGAGTGAGAGAACGGTGCATTGTTCTTTTAGTGCGCAAGCCAATATTTCAAGGGACCTCACCCAGTAGTACCGGTCCCTTTAAAAAAAAAATCAGGAAGGGCTTTGATCTTCTCCGGGAGGCGGGGAGGAAGGGGGCGTGCGGGAAGGAGGGTTCTTTGCGTTACTGCAGCAGAGCGGAGCTGCATGCACCACTCAATCAAGGTAATGGAGGAACAAGCGGAGGGTGAGCTCTTGGGGCTTCAAAGCCTCTTTGCTTTCAAATTTCCAGCCTGCAGGGTCGCGCCGTCGCTGCAGCAAGAGCTGCTTTTTCTTCTCAGGCTTAGCCTGAGACTAAGCAGCTGGGGCTGGCTGGCTACCGAGCCTTTGGTGACCTTCTGCAGAGGTATAGAACCCCTCGACCTTCTGCGCAGCTACATCACAAAAGAGCTTTCAGGCTTTCCCTAGTTCATGGAGAGGTGGCTGAACTGCTTGCGTTTCATGTGACTTGTGGCTGTTTCAGAAGCAAGTCCAAGGGGTTTCAGCCTAGGGCTCGTCGAAATGGATGGCTTTCCATCAGTTTTCTGAGCTTCTGCCTAGGGTGTAACCGCAGACGCTCCAGGGTCTCAGTTTAGGAAGAAGCTACTGATGTTAATGCCCCAAATGTGAGTATAATGTTGTGTTAACAGTTTACATGCCTCTCTTTTCCCTCTGAAGATTGTCTGCTCCACATTCTGAGGTTTGCCTTGACCCCAGAGGAAAGCAGAGCCTGGAACTGGTAAGCACGCTGGTCAGCTCGTGTTCTGGACCATGGACTCGATGAGAATCCCCCTAATGTGAAAATGTCGAACACTAACAGGGAATTAGTGATTGACTTCCTCTCCTACAAGCTATCGCAGAGGGGACACAGCTGGAGCTGGTTCGAGGGGGAGGATGAGATCAGGACTGAGGCTGCAGAAGAGGCGGAGATGGCAAGCGTCCCTAATGGGAGTCCATCCTGGCATCCAGGTGCCAGCCACGTAGTGAACGGGGCTGCCGGGCACAGTAACAGCCTTGAAGCCCATGAAAGGGTTCCGGCAGCCGAAGTGAGGCAGGCGCTGAGAGAGGCAGGAGATGAGTTTGAATTGAGGTATCGGAGGGCTTTCAGTGACCTCACTTCCCAGCTCCACATCACCCTGGGCACGGCTTACCAGAGCTTCGAGCAGGTGGTGAATGAACTCTTCCGGGACGGAGTGAACTGGGGGCGCATTGTGGCTTTTTTCTCCTTTGGAGGAGCCCTGTGCGTGGAGAGTGTGGACAAGGAGATGCAGGTGTTGGTGGGACGCATCGCCTCTTGGATGACCACTTACCTGACTGACCACCTTGATCCCTGGATCCAAGAGAATGGCGGTTGGGTAAGAATATGTCTCGCGTCCAAGGGGACGCGCTCCCCCTCATCCGACCTTATTGACAACTGTTGTACAAGTCTGCTTAAAATGTAACTGGCTGAGTGCCTTGTGCATGGTAGTAATGGTCTTAGATGTCCCTAGGGAAACAGACAGCTCGAATGGGCCTTTTTCCCCTTTCTTAGCGGTTTGCCACAAGGGGTCACTCCATTTTGGCAGAACAATCCAGACTGGTACCATGCCTGCCATCCAGGCTTGTCTGAATCCCTCTGCTTCTTAGCCTCCTTGGATGTTGGAGAAACCCTTTTGGCGTCCCGGTCATCCAGGATTGCTCCTGATGTTCCTTAGCATGACCGACAGTAGTCGGGAACCCAGCTCTGGACTGAATCTTCCTTCCACCTTTGTCCTAAAATGCCAGGGGTAGGCTTTGAAGCGGAGTGGGATGACATGCTAGCTCTTCTCCTCTGAAGACTAGAACTCCCCTTCTGATTTGCTCACCAATAGAGTAGGCCTTCTTCCCCGGGGTATTTGTCCTCCCCATTGTTTGAGAATTGAAGTACATAGCTAGAACTACCTGAAGAGAGGCAGCTAATACTCCTGCTGTATGCCTGGCTCCAATCACAGTTGTTTTCCCCTGCTTGCCTGAGCACCGAGCTTGTGGACACTTTTAGTGGATTTGTGCTTGCACCAGAAGGCCTGCACTATGGACGTGTTAGGTCCACGGGATGTGGGGCTTGATTCTCTACCATGGTAGCGAGGCCTATAAGAGTACAGGGAGGACAGTGCCAGCTACTCGAATTTAAGCAGTGGAGTTTTGTTTCCCTTGCCCATTGAGGAGCTGTGGTTTTGGGACTAGTGTTCACTTTCCCAGCCCGGCAGGTACCTCCCCCTGACAGGTAGAGGGGACTTCAGGAAGTGCAGGGGAGTATGGAGACAAGATTGCTCCAGCCCAGCCTTGCCCTGCAACTGCACCTGCCACAGGTGAATTGGAGCTGGCCTCTTGGCGCTCACCCAGCACTGGACCCAGGACACGAAGCCTTGCTGAGGCAGGAGGAGGATGTGCGCTCCAGCCCAGGAATGCTTGGAATGCAATCTGCCTGGGGCACTGCCTGGGGTGTGGCTGCCCAAACAGACTGAATTTTGCTTCACGTTAATAACCAAGGCGCTCATTCGCCAGCTGAGCAGGCGGTCTCTGGCCCATGAGCTCTCTGGCCCTGCGGGTCCTCCTAGCAGAGCTGAAGCTGGGTTTCATCCCTCCCCTCTCCAGGGCTGGCTTTCAAAACTAGAGATTAGCTGTGGAATGGGGTGATCCAGTGGAGGTTTCCCAGGCTCTGTGGCTGTTGCTGCGGGTGACGATGGGGTTGTCTCCTGGAGACCTAGGCGATAATGCAATCTGATTTTGTAAATGAACTCCCTGGGAGATTTAGATTAAATCACTGATGGAAAGTCACTGGTCTCTGCTTGTTGGGAATGCAGTACCCCTCCCCCGCCCCAGCCAAGTATCACAGCTTGGTTGCTTTGTGTCTGAGCACAAATTCATTGTTTGAAACAAATATTTGTTCAGCAGATTGCATGAGGGGCAGGATTCCTTCCTTTCTGACACACCCACTGTCTCCTGCTCTTAAGATGGCTAAGAGCTGCTGTTTTGGCTAGACAGAACAGCAGTTTTGCTCCGAGCTGGTATCCCTGTGTTTATTTTTAGCTACCCTGGCTGGCTTGTATCATTTGTGGCAAGCTGGCCCAACTGTGTAACACACTAATTTGCACAGGGAGGCGGTGCAGATGCCCAGAGAGGAGGTCTGGGCTGTTTCTGTAGAAAAATGTAGGGTGCAGTTTCTGTGTGTCCATTACGGGGGCTTATGCAGATACCAGACTAGGAGCTGTGATAGCTTTAGTAGTGCTTGTGGTCTTGTCCTCATAGGGTTGCCAAGTGTCCAGTTTTGAACCGGACAGTCCAGTATTTGAGCTTTTCTGTTCAGGAGACAAATTAAGAAAATAGAAATGTCCGGTATTTGCTAAATAAGATGTAATGTCAACTGTGTCCGGTATTTTTGTTGAAACCACCTGGCAACCCCGTGTCCACACTAGGTACTTTTTGGCCCCAGATTTCCTGATCTTGTTCCCCTTGTTCAGTTCTGCTGTTGCTAACAATAGTGCTAATGTAACTGGCTGTAAAAGTTCAGGAATCCTCCTGATGTGTGGGGGAGGGTATCGATATCTTTGCTTTCACTGTCCCCTGCTTCTGCATGCAAAGAGAAACCATTGGCCTCTCCCATGGTAAGTCTGCACGAGTGAATGCTCTTCCAGGCCCAGTGATGGTGGATCAGGACTGCTGCTTACGTACAGTGTGTGTGGTACTTGCTATTGCTTGGCCCCTGCAAACAATGCTCTCACAAAAAGGTGCTGTAGCCAAGTCCCAATCAGATGTATGCAAGTTCTGGCTGGCCTGTTCCTGGCATGTACCTGATGTTTGTTTTCTAGAGTATCACAGCATTTCACTACTGCCAATCTCTGAGAGAGGGCAGGCGTAGGGGTGGGAATGACTAGTTGACGCTCCGATAAGCAAATGTTTATCGGAAAGTCGACACACTAGTCGACTATCTGTCTTCCCCTCTCCCCTCACTGCCTCTATCAGAAAGAGGCAGCAGGGGGGTGTGAAGAGGAGGGGTGCTTCAAAACGGCAGCACCTCATGGAGCCTGGGGTCTGCTGCTTTGAAATGCCTCATGCAGCCCAGGGCCAACTGAGTGTCCCCCCGACCCTGGACTCCACGCAGAGCTACAGCTTTGAAACACCACAGGGAGCACGGGGCCAGCTGGGGCTGCTTGAGTCCCCCACTGGCCTCGTGCTCCCCGCAGCGCTTTCGCCTTTGAAGTGTAGCAACAGCCCCGAGGTGGAGGCGCCCTTATTGGCTAATCAAATAGTCAATACAAATTGCATCAACTCTTTGATTAGCCAGTTATTCTAAATGTAACATCCATAGGCAGCAGTAGTCCTGGACAGTCTTTCAAATAAGGGTTCCTGCTTTTCTGAGGCTGAAAATGAAAGGGCTTCCGTGGTGCTTGGCATGGAGGGCCGGGTCACCATTATCAGAGAGAAATCCTTGCTTGCTGAGCCTGGATGTGACTAATGCTTTTCCGAGAGATCTGTAAAGGCTGGGAGTGATTCATGATGAGTGACTCATTTAAATTTGTGCTAAAGATCTGGCCCGAAAGTAAAGGCTGGAATTAAAGGCTCTGGCAACATTTGTGCAATTCCATAAATAACTGGGAACTGGAGACTCTATTGCTGTTTGCAGATGCTGACTGCCCTGTCTTGACTGGGGCACTGCGCGCTGTCCCATTGGAGTAACACGAACAATGCCCTCAGGTACTGGTTTCCTGGAAGCTTGTGCTAGATGGCGTCACAAACTGTCCCTAATGTGTAAACACCAAGGAGGCAAAGCAATTGAGGCTGGCTCGGGAGTATCGTGAGACATAATGGGCAAAGATTCAACAAAGGAAAGGTTGGGGTTCACACTTCTCGTTGGGGAGAACTTAGATGCAATAGAGGAATCGTTTCTCAACAAATATTCAAGAGAATTCTCTGAAGTCTGCAAACCAAAGGGGGTGGACTAGATAAAACTCTTCCTCTGACCTGCCCAGCCCAGATTTTCCCAGTCACTGAATTGTAGCCAGGTTTGACAGTCCTGCTAAGTTAGGGAGGCCATATGTTCCCAAAGGGAAAACAAAACACCCCCTGGGCTGGCTGGAGAATTTCCTCCAGCCCCACTCCATGTGGGGCGGGGCCAGCCTGAGCCTGCCCCCACCCTCCCTGCCTCAGGTCCCCTCTCCCTGTGTGCAAAGCCAGCCAGTCCAACACCCTTCCCGGCCCCCATGTTTCCCTCCTGGCATGCGGGGTTGGCTGTCCCGAGCCCTCCCTCTAGCTCAGGGCTGGTATAAGCGCTCACTTTCCCACTGCATGTTCATCCATGCCCACCAGTGGTCACACCCCACTTTTTTGGCAAAACTGAATGTTTGTCCAGGTTGTTCTTGCCAACTGATCCTCATCTGGCAAGAGCAAATGGAACAAATGCCCAATTTCACCAAACAAGCCGGAACGGCCAGGACAGAGCCTAGAAAAGGGGACAGCTGGTCACTGCTGAGTGGAGTTGGGGCAGGATGGAGTTGTGTATCTTTGTGGAGAAAACCCTCTAGAAAATGGCATTCCAGACAGTCCATTTTCTAATGTCGTTTTTGAATGCTGAGAAATGAGACACTTGTCGTATGACAGGCAAACTGTGCTCGGTGTTCACCCTGTCGTCTTCCCGAGAGAGAACTTGAGACGTTGCATTTCACCCTTCAGTGACGCTTTTTGCTCCTCTTCATGTGTCTTTCTGTGATTGCTGTTCCATTATGGGGATGGGGAATAACCAGGTGGAGGCAGTCCTCCTGCCCTAGAGACTGATCGGGTAGAATCGTTGACTACACTGTGTGCAGATGCTAAATCCATGCTTGGCTTGGATGAGCAAAGCCGCATGCTGAGCTTGTTCCTAGCTTGTCTCATTGCCATCTCAGAGAGTTTGTGTCTTCAGTTCTGCCTCTTTCTGTTTGGGCAGCGAGAAGTTGTCTGTCTGATCAGACAGCTTGGGTAACCAAGGCCTGGTGTGTAGTTAGCACTGTGAGATTAACTGCTGTTAGAGTAAGCGTTGATTGTAATAGCTTATTGCATGTTTCAGAGAGCTGGAATCCACTACGTTTTCAAGGAAGTGCAGCTATCTCAGGGTGGAATGTAGTTGCTATTTAACACACAGCAACACTGTACACAGCAGATGAAAGACCTGGAATGAAGACTAGGCGCTCAGATACGACAGTGATGAGCATGGTATCAATGCCAAGATAGAAGAATGTAGTGTTCTTATTAAGTTACACAGGAAATCCATGTGGGCCAAATACTGTTATGCAAATTGTACTGTGGCCAGGGCAGACTCTTACATAGAAGTGCCGTGGGATCTTTAATGTCCATACGTGAT